GAAGCAAACGTATATCTGCTATAGCAATCGACTACTATACTTTATTTTTCGAATTAAGTATTGTTTTCGTAACTACCAGTGAATCAGTAATATGAAATGTATTCACGAAAACAATACTTTATTCGAAAAATAAAGTATAATAGTCGATTTTTATAGCAAATACACGTTTGCTTCATCGGCACTTTCACCAAAGAATATGATATAGCAAAGAGGCCTGACTTTCCTTGAAATTCACTTATGCCCTGTGACTCAAGGGTACTCGTGGCAGTGCAGCCGAGTGGTTAGCGTGTCAAGCTCCCATCCTGCACTGTCGCGGTTAGACTCCCGCTGAAGCTGTTCATAAGACCGATGCGAGGTCGAAACTGCAGTCTACTCTGGATGAGAACAACTTTTGGGAAAGCAAGGCTAGGTGAAGTTTAATAGAAACGTCAGCTTAACTTATATCATTATGGGAAAATTCTTCTTCTTCCAGTCCTTCATCACCTTAAACGAAATTGGGTGAATACATTTGGGTGAATAATCCATGATTAAATTTCATTTTATTTTTAAATGTGTATACCCCCATTTGACAGTATCTTTATATCGCGATTATTTTGTTACGAGTCATACTTTCTTTATTTGAAAATCTTACACATTTTATCGGACAATTGTATGGGAAAGTCTGAAAGGCAAATATATTTTCTCTAAACTTGGATAGATGCATACTCCCAATGTTTGACTATCGACGGGCGTTACTATTTTCGTTTTCTATGTGAACTTTTGAGACTACCAGTAGATCTTGAATAAGAATTGTGTTCACCCTGTTTCATTTCAGCTGATGAAGGATTTCCCACAATCATATAAATAAGAGTTGTTTGATCTTGTTTTCGCAACTTGGTCATATTAGTAGGAAGACTTAGAGGAACGCACCTAGTCAGGAGTCCATTGTATGCATAATCATTTTCGTAGTAGGACCGTGGACTTGGTACATTCCCAGACGTTTCGCCGGTATCGTATTTAGCATCGTTAGTTGGTATCGCCATTCGTAGCACCATATTACTACTCGTCATAATATTACTCGTTATATTATTTATCGGAGCTATTTGAACATTTCCAGAGTCTTTATTCTTGCATATCTGGTTCATTTTTCACTTTGCCATTTTATTAAGCTTATTTCTTTGTTTAACCTTATTTTTGACAGCTGCTGTCAGAACATTCATCAATAATAGCCACTGGTTTTACTGCACAGTCTGCTCTTGACCCACCCACACAATACGCTAGCTACGGTGAGTTAGCATTTTTCTATTTCAGTACTCGAGCTAGGGCTCTTTGAGCTAGATATACTATTTATAAAGGTGATTTTATAATAAAAGCATAATACTGTTATTGTAATTGTAATTGTAATAGTATAATCAGCAAAAAGACTGAACAATTTTGTTAGAAAATTGTGCTGTTCATTTTTTTGTTGATTTTACTGCTACAACTACGACTGCCACTACTACGACTACTACTGTTGGCTGCATTCTTAATAAGAAAATATTACTTATATGCTCTTTTAAAGATGAAAGTTTTACGGCTACTATAATTGATTGATTTTATATATTTATATATATATCAATATTCTTGAAATACAATCTTGTATATGTTTAATTGTATCCATACTCATGGTGATACTAATGGATAAGGTTATGGCTGCCACAGCATGAGCGCTCTAGGATGATGGCGATCTTTCATTTTCCCATTATATTGCCATGATAACCCACTACCAGATTCTCCGGCGCAGCGTCAAATGCCGCCGCCCA